TATCAGCCATCACCCGACGTCATAAGCGATTGAGGTAAAGTTAATTTCCTAATCCAATTTTTGTGTATACATAGCAAAATATATATATACATACTTTGTAATAAACGAATTACATTTTATACGGAAGACTAATTCCCGTCTTTATTTATTTTCACCATATTTCTAACACGACATCGGTGCAACAAACTGCGAACCATTGAGCTATCAAATACGCAGTCGTTGCAGCGTTGCACATGGTCCTTCGAGCCGGGTATATAAAACAATATATTTAATATGTAATTGAAATTTTCACATCAATTTGCGCTATCTTCAAACCCATGGTTTTAATTGTACGCATATCGTCAGGGTTTTCCCCACAACTTGGTTTTGCTGCAGTGAAGCGACAGAACAAGTGACGAGAAAAGATATATGCGGACACTTATATGTATATGTATCTATGCGCATACGTATCTATGCGCATGGTATGTATCTATGCACATGCGTAGCTATGTATGCACATACGTATCTATGCGCATACATGCATGTGTGCTTAGGTATGTATATTAGCATTTTAGTTGAAAGTACGTTTTGCTCGTCGCTCTCTTCAGCGCTCCACTGCAATCCTGTCCTTAATTTTATTCAGATACCTCAAACGCACTCACCCCATCACTTATTCGTTGCCGCCTTCTTCGTTGTTGTTGCTGTTTAAGCATTTCCTGCCGCTGTAGGTACAAGAACAACACAGCAGTTATTGATGTGTTCGCAAGCAAACTATAAGCTCCGCCAACTGCAGACTGCGTAACTTGTCCCGACGAAGGGGATGTGCCAGAGTTGGTCGTACTGGTAAAATGCGCAGGTGTAAATGGTGGTGGCACTGTATTCGGTGGAATACTTAGTTGAAATCCATTGTGGTATATAAGATAGTAGGTGGCTTGGGTGGGAGTGCTAGATGGTGAAGTCACAACGGTTGCACCAGTGACTGCTGCGGTTGCTGAAGAATTAGGGTTGGACGTTGATGCTACGATCACCTTGGAATCGTTCTGCAAATTGCTTCCAGCAACAGACCCGCTGTTATTTGTTGAATTCGTCTGCCACATACCGCCCGAAGTGCACAACCAAAATTCATGTTGAAACCACGGAAACCGCAGAATCTGTGAATAAAACAAACAGAAGATAATATTGTAGGATGGAAAAAAAAAATGTAAAGTTTAATTACATACATACATACAGAACCACTTACACTTCGGGCATCTTCTCTTTATCCATTTACAGGGCATTAATCCGTGCTGTGTGCTCAAGGCAAAGGGTTGCAAATTGATGCAGGCAAGCGTCTGAAACCTAAACTAAGTATATTAAATCAAACTATATACTACAAATTACTATTCTAACAAATTCCACTATACGAACCGTTTCTCCTCGTGATAGGTTATTTCTTGAATGACATTTCAGCCATTCAGGATATTGCCATTCATGAATTAGCAATGGCGCCATCTGTTGTATTCGAGACCAAATGCTTACGTTAAGCTTGCGTCATTGGGGATTTTTACTCAATCCGTCGAACTACGACAAGATGAAGCAAAAGGAAAAAAGTAATTTTCTGGCTGACGTTGGTAATTTCGACGCCAGTTATTTTCTTTTAAAAGTAAACAAAGAATATGAAGACTAGGCATAATTTTCTTAATTGCTATCACAAAGTATGGCTTTTATGCAAATTATAAATACTGCTCTACTCGACGGTCATCAACGCACAAATGGTTGCTTCTCGACCGGTCTGTTCTAATTGGTTCATGCCTCGCAATCTCTAGAAAAATTGTACTTTAATAAATTATCTTACCATTGTGTTAGATGATTTTTGATTGGAATACCAGTTTAAAAAATGATTGCGATGCGCAAAAACACGGTAATCGACATCAGGAATATTATGATACTCCGTATCACGTTTATCGATTATTACCACCGTTCTTGTTTGATACCGCGAAAACACGTTGTAAAAATGAAACAAACTATTATTCGAATCAGAACAATCATTTTGCGTGAACCTTTGACGTAGCAACCACCTCAACGTTAGCGAGCGAATTTTTTTGGGGTGGCAGGACCGTCTTACGATATTAACGTATCACGAATGGGAGCAAACAAGCAAAATCGATAACACCTGTCCACAATGTATCGCTTCAATATTTGAGGTGCCCATACACTTTTTATACGCTTGTACGATATTATATGCAGTTCACACTATCAATTTACAGTGTGGAATCAACATTTATTTTCAAAGTATAAACTATATTTTGTTTTCGGTTTTAAACTCATTTAATGCTCGCCACCCAACTGTAACCTACACACATAAGGGCACAATATTTAGTACATAAGTACACAGTACTAGTATCGGATAACAGCAAGGGAAAAAAACATTAACCAATTTCAGACAATGACTAAATTCACTTCAATGAGGAAAAGGGCGGAGCAGCAATCACAGTGTTATCCACTCGCATGCCGTCTATGTGATGGAAATCACCCGATCAGGCTCTGTCCAATATACAGAGTAAAATCTCCCGAAGAAAGATTGCGGGAGGCATTGTTGGGACGTTTTTGCGGCAACTGCTTGTCTATGACACACCGCGTCGATACGTGCACGAGCGAAGAGAGATGCCGTCGGTGCCATGACAAGCATCATACAACTCTGCACCTGGATGAGGAGCACCAAGCAGTCGACACAAGACCATGGAGCGTGCAAGTCGCAAGTGAGGATGAATCGGAGCACATTCTATCGGTCAATGCTTCAGACTCAGGAACAGAGACCAGGGCTCTCCCACCGGACGCCGAGGAAGGCGAAGTCATTGAAACTGCAGTAGCAACCCGCACTCTTCGCTCGACTTCACGAAGGGGATCGGAAACTAGGCCCTCCCGACCGCTCTTAGCACATGAACGGCGCCGTGGATCGGAAACTCGGCCTTTCCGACCACGCCAGCCTTCACGCCGTCGCCGTGGAGCGGAAACTAGGCCTTTCCGCCCGCGGGCCAGACAATTGGATTCGGCAAATCGACGCCGCCATCAAGGTAGACTGGAGACGAGGCCTCGCCAGCTGCCTGTTGCATTCAGAGCGGGTCGGGTCCAGCCTTCAACTCACGTATTAAGGCCCGTTACATCAATATGCCCTACTGCCGTGGTCAAGGTCGAATCGCAAGGACGGCTCCATTTGATACGCGCCTTGATTGATGCGTGCTCACCGACCTCGATAATCTCAGCCGATTTAGTACGCGAACTGCGCCTTGATTTTGGTCCGCAACAGGGTTGCCTACTGCGTTTGCGCGGCAAACATGGCCAAAATAAAAGGGTAGCAGTCCATGCAAGAGTGGTGCGAAATTATATTCGGATCAGCCCCACCAGTAGCGTCGATCCCTCGATAGCGGCACCGTACACGCACATTCGACTAGCGGACCCGAACTTCCACACCTCAACGCCGATTCGCTTGGTCTTGGGAGCCGATGTGTATCCCGAGATTATCCTGCCAGGGATACTCCCAAGCGCTTTTGGGCCATTCCTGGCCCAAAGCAGCATATTTGGGTGGATCCTATCGGGATCGTGTCGATCCTAAATAACGAATAAATCTTTTTTTCGTTTTTGATTTTTTATTTAGATAAATATATATACACTTTCTTGAAATGAATATGAATTGTTTAATAAATGAAGTGCAATGAAATGTCAAACCATGCCTTGTTCTCTTAACCTTATTTTTCGTATCATTTCTACAGCTGTAGGAGGCGAAGATGGAAGCACGGGTGACAACGAGGAAGTCCGACTGATCGGATGACAACCAGCTGACATTTTTTCTACTTACCTTCGAATTTGTAATTAGCTACTCAACGCGGTGTGATGGCTGAGTCGTAATAGATGTTGCTTATAGCAAGGGGGCCGGTATGTTTAGGCCTCCACCCTAAACTCAAAATAATGCAATGGGTGTACCACCCTAATGTTCATTTATGCACATGCATGTATACATTTGCAGTATTAATAACCAACAATGTTGGCCGTTAGCATCATTTATACACACATGCAAGTATACATTTTCATGTATTAATAATGTGGCCGTTAGTAATACTTCCCGCCATATTAAC